ATGAATTTGCGCAAAATGTATTTCGATTAAACAAATAACTTACAAGGCATTGTATCAAAATAACTTAAAATGTGTCGCACATAAATTAATATGTATCGCACATAAATTAATATGTCTCGCACATAATTAATATGTATCACACATAAATTAATATGTATCGCACATAAATAAATATGTATCATACATAAATTAATGTCTCGCACATAATTAATATGTATCACACATACATTAATATGTATCGCACACAAATTAATATGTCTCGCACATAATTAATATGTATCATACATAAATTAATATGTATCGCACATAAATTAATATGTCTCGCACATAATTAATATGTATCACACATAAATTAATATGTATCGCACATAAATTAATATGTAACGCACATAAATTAATATGTATCGCACATAAATTAATATGTCTCCCACATAATTAATATGTATCGTACATAAATAAATATGTATCATACATAAATTAATGTCTCGCACATAATTAATATGTACCACACATACATTAATATGTATCGCACATAAATTAATATGTATCGCACATAATTGATAAGTATCATACATAAATTAATATGTATCGCACATAAATTAATATGTCTCGCACATAATTAATATGTATCACACATAAATTAATATGTAACGCACATAAATTAATATGTATCGCACATAAATTAATATGTCTCGCACATAATTAATATGTATCACACATAAATTAATATGTATTGCACATAAATTAATATGTCTCGCACATAATTAATATGTATCACACATAAATTAATACGTATCGTAGATAAATTAATATGTATCGTAGATAAATAAATACATGTCGTAGATAAATAAATATGTATCGTACATAAATTAATATGTATCGCACATAAATTAATATGTATTGCACATAAATTAATATGTATCGTAGATAAATAAATATGTATCACACATAAATTAATATGTATCGTAGATTAATAAATATGTATCGTACATAAATTAATATGTATTGCACATAAATTAATATGTATCGTAGATAAATAAATATGTATCGTAGATAAATTAATATGTATCGTAGATAAATATATACATGTCGTAGATTTATCGTACATAAATTAATATGTATCGCACATAAATTAATACGTATCGTAGATAAATAAATATGTATCGTAGATAAATAAATATGTATCGTACATAAATTAATATGTATCACACATAAATTAATATGTATTGCACATAAATTAATATGTATCGTAGATACATAAATGTGTATCGCACATAAATTAATACGTATCGTAGATAAATAAATATGTATCGTACATAAATTAATATGTATCGCATATAAATTAATACGTATCGTAGATACATAAATATGTATCGCACATAAATTAATA